TTCATTGGTTAATGAATAAAGAAACTGCCTTGGCCTTTTGACAGGGCAGAACTTAGATATGCTGGGGGGGGGGCGGCTGAGACAGAACTAGATGCTGGGAGAAAAAAAGGGCGGAGAGAGAAAAGCCATGGATCTTCCACCTAAGACGGATGCCGCAGAGTAAAATCTTTCCCAGTGAGCCACTGCCATGTGGCAATATGCAGATTAATAAAAATGGGTAAAATCAAGATATGAGAGTTAGCCAATAAGAAGCTAGAGATAATGGGCCAAACAATGATTTAATTAATAAAATTTCTGTGTGGTTATTTCGGGGCTACACTAGCTGGGCTGCCGGGACAAAAAAGCAGGCCCTTTCCCTGCAACAGTGACTCTTCTGGGTTTATGAAAAAATACTGAAGCCTGGATAGCTCCAGTCCTCAGTACACCGACATGACCTAATGACAATTACAGGCAGAAGCTCCAGTATACAAGGACAGCTCCATCTGTGGAGATTCCAGTGGACTCTGCTGCGAAGGCTCCACTGACCCCTGATATAATCATCTGACCGGTTCTGTTCCTTCAAGAGGCAAAGCTGGAACGAGAAGCTCAGAGGGTTCATGGCCAGGCTGACTTGATCTGTGCCTAAAAGAACGGCATGTGTGAGCAGGGACAAATATGTCTAAAATGCTTGCTTGAGTTCCATGCGCTTGCAATTCTCTCCTCCTAAAGTCACACAAACAGCCTGGTGTGGTGGCTGTAGGGGCAAGGACGGAGTCCTGGAAAACGCCAACGGCACACTGTTGGGAAGGAAATGCTTTACACAGTATCCTGAAGAAAAGAGAGGACTCTGAAGAGCTCCTGAACCAGTAGGATGACCTCCGTGTACAGACATGGAAGCCAAGATGGAGCTAAGTAGGGCTGGCAGCAGAACCTAGGCTGCTTAATTTTAAAGCTTTGCTTGACTGCATTCCACAGCTTGGACAAAAAAAAAAAAACCCATAAAGGAAAGAGAAATCAAATTCCCATGTCTAAGCAGGCACTCTTGAAGAGTCACCTAAGATATTCTCGTAGCAATATTTAGGGAAGACAAAGCCTGCCTTTTCCCTAGCAAGGGAGTCTGTGATTTTCAATATTTTTCATCCTCTAGAGTTGTTCCTTTGTGACCCTTAGACATAATCAGGGAGCCTGTGAGACATGGCAGTGGGGTGGGGTGTGTGAAACAGGGCAGCCATTGTCCTTTAATTAGAGCTTGGGTCTCCCCGTGGGGCTCAAGACGGGACTGTTTAATATGGAGCCTTCACCTGTGCCAAGATATAGCATTATGATACCTCCTCCCTCTGATGCAGCTCACCTGCCAGAGTGCATGAAAAGCTCCTGGTGTGAGTGGGGGGGGAATGTGCTCACATGACTAGGGGGCTTTGCCTGGGCTATAAAAGACTGTTCCCATTTGCTCAAAGCCAAGCATCCTTGGATCATTCGATAGTCGTTGAGTGAAGCTTCACTTCACGGTAGGTACCTACTTCTTGTGATGGTGTAAAGGGATAGAGAGAAGAGGAAGAGATGGGGGAAGATGGGGAGGCAGGGTCAGGGAGATGGGAGAAATAGAGGACAACAGGGAGAATGAGTAGAAGAAGGACGAGAAGGGAAGAGGAAAGAAAAGAGAAATAGTTGGAGGGATAAGTGGGTGGATGAAAAGGAGAAATAAAGGGAGGGGAAAAGGAGTAGAAAGGGAATAAGGGCTGGGCATTTAGTGCTGTGTGAGTTCTGGATGTTATAGGAATACCAAAGGCACTCTGGATCCTTGTAGAAGAAGACGCAGTGTCAAGTGGGCAGCACTTGCTAAAATGCACTTGGAAATCTCCCACCCTACCTTCCTACCACACACCTCACTCCAGCAAGGGTCCCACAAGCCTGTGGGTCAACAACTGCACAGGGCACCTCATGTGGGTGGGTGGTCCTGAGCACAGAGCTCCAGCCTCGTGGTTCATAACAAGACCCTCCTGGTTCAACTTCATGAATCCCATAAGAACCCATGCACTGGAGAATGAGCACCATCTGTCCAGCCGCAGAACCTGACTACTCTAGCCCAGTCAGCTTGATGTGGCTCCAAGAGACAGGCTAGTGGCCAGGGATTAGCTGTTAGGAGGTAGCCTTGTAAGCAGGATTATCCAGGCGATGCCTGCCAAGAGCAATCTTGAGATACACCTTGAGGTACAAGACAGGCCTCCTGACTGAATTGTAGCAATAATCACGAGGCTGCTTATTTATTTTGGGTCATGTGCCTGACCAGGGAGCTGAGTAAAGGTAATATCCACAAAGCAAAGACTTTGGTTAAATTGGTCAGTGGTATAAAGCATGGACACTGGCAGTTGCTTCCCCTGTGCCTCTTTTAAAAGCAGTTCAGTAAGTTAAGACCTAACTGAGCCTCCGGCTTTGTCGAAAAAGAGACCTTTTTTTTTTTTTTTGGTCTTAGGGTTTAGTTTTTTGACAGTGTGTGGAGCACCTGACATAATCATCCAATAAATGCAAGAAATAAGATCCTTAAGTTTACAACCTAGTTAAAACTTTGTATAGAAAATGCATAACATTTTATAAATATACATGTATTCACCATCTTATCAATTTTCAAAGGACAGCTGTGTGGAGCAATTTTTTTTGTTTTTGTATCATCCTCTCCACTGTCCACTTCCAGAATTTTTTTTTTAATTCCCCAACTGAAACTCTACAAAACAAACCCCCCTGCTGGCCCCACTCTCCTCTCTGATAATATCTTTCTTAATCTAGAATAATGGTGGAGTCCTGCTTATGGTCAGGTGCTTTTCTCATTTGCATTTCCATAAATACATCCTAGGTACTAGAACTTAGTGGTTCTCAACTTTCCTAATACTGCAACTCTTTAGTACAGTTCCTCATGTTGTGGTGACCCCCCCAACCACAAAATGAATTTTGTTGCTACTTCATACCTGTAATTTTACTACTGTTATGACTCGTAAATATCTCTGTGTTGCAATGATCTTAGGCAGTCCCATGAAAGGGTCATTTAACCCCAAAGGAGTCGCAATCCGCAGGTCGATAAGTGCTATCGTAGGAGGAAGTAGTCAAGTGGCCTTCATTCTATGTAGACTGAGCTGATGGCCAGCCGGGGAAGTACACTCCTGAGACCTGGGTCAGAGGTTTTAACTAGACCCTCAACTGTATTTCCCAACGAGGGGCTCCCATACAAACAGGACAGAGGTCAGCACGAGCCTTCTGCTGCAGTGCAGTCCGCTGCTGCAATGTCGATCGCTGGTGCCAAGGAGCTGCTCAGGTTCTTCAGTTATCACAGCTTGAGGGTAGAGGGCTAACTCACTTGGGCCCCCGCAGGAGCTACCCAGCAGGCTCTACCACTGTAACAGTGTTGGCTAGGAGTCAGGTACATGGGGAAGTGGGACCTTTGTACCATAATTCTTCAGCCTCCAAGCTTCAAAGGCTTCATCGTGAAGCATGCAATTAGACTGGATGCTGCCCGTGCGTGGTCTTTCCAAGTCCACATTACAGTCGTCTCTCCTGGGTAATGGGAACGGTAACCCATCAGATGCCATAAGCGCTAGACGACGACTGGATTGGCAAGGGTCTGGTGGCCTCTTTCTTGTGAGTCTGACTTAATAGGGGGCCTCCAGGCCCCCCAGGAAAGGCATTTCCTGCACACTAGTGGAGGTCCTAGCGCTTAGCACAACTCTTTGGGAGACTTGTCTCCCAATTCATTTCAATATGGCTTCAGCATGAAAAGGGGGAGGCAGGCAGAGCTGTGTCTGCAGAACTGGTTTGATGTTGAGAGCTCATCTGTTCTAAATGATTGCAGGCAGAGCATTGTGCTGAAGGAAAATCACACAACAGCTTAGTCCGATCGGGATTTTCTTGCATTCAAAACACATTCATTTTGCAGCCACAAGGGGCCATGCTAGAGGCAGGTTCATAGAACAGTGACCTTAGAGCCCACGAGGTCTTCTCACTCCGGGCTCTCTGTACTAAACTGAGTTCCTAGACAGGGTAACTCCAGCATGACAACCGCTAACGTGTGGAGCACCGCCTTTGCAGCTAGAAGAACCCATCATAGAAAGGGCCTCTTCTCCTAGGTTGATAACCCTGCAGAGGGAACACTTGAATCTAGCTTAGTAGTTTAGAGGCTTCCATATGCCCTGTTGGCCAAGCACCCTTGTGCAGCGCACAATATCTACAACCCTATCCAGCAGTCCTGTATACAGTCTGGATCATGCTGTATCATCGTTCATACGATGCCCTAAAATCAGGTTCTAAAACAGAATAAGCACAAGTCAACCGATCATTTCCCACTGCTTAGGGAATTATAACTAGGGGGAAAAGTATTTCAAAACCCCTCTGGTCTCCTTTCTCCTGTTAACTATACTGTTGTTGGACGTTGGCGTGCCTGTTGAAATCAAGTACTTGGCGATCTGCACACAAGAAAATGTGATGGGATTCCAGGACTCTCGTTCCTACCTTATTCCTTTGTCCATAGAGCAACCCTTAATATCCTAGGACTTTAACCAGATAATCCAAAATGTTCAAAAACTAAGGACAAAAGGTAGTGCTGCTCCAGGAGAGGACCATTTGTTGGGAGGCAGCGCCCCCATGTGGTCCCCTGGTTTATTTAACTCTGGAGTGGTGTTGGTAGGGTTCAAACCCACCTCCCTCCCTCCCTCATGCTATGTCTTCAGTAAATTCATGTGGAATAAATGCATGAAGGAACAAGACACTGCCATGTCTTTGGGGGAGAACACAGCTAACTTTCCATGTTACTGCTGGGTAAGCTGAGTTTCCATGAGGGAACACTAGCTCTTCATGTCAAAATTGCTAGTTAGTATTGAAGCTGGGACAGAAATACTTTCAGAACTGGGGCCTTTGGCACAAAGGGGGATGAGAAGCTTTCGGTGGGTCTTATACAGTATTTTTAACAGCATCCTTGTCATGTTCTTCTGGCCTCTCTCCCAGGGAGCTGCTCTAGTCTACGCCCAAACCGTGTCCTTTGCTCTTCCACAATGATCACGCTGCTCACGGTTTGTATGCTGCTGGTCCCCTCTGTTGGTGAGTAACGTTACTGGTGCAGTATTTCCAGCTTAGCGTTTGATAACGTCACACAGATGCAGAAAAGCTTTGTCAACATCTACCTGTCTTGCATATTAGCTCCTCTTTATCCCTGTGCCTAATGAGTGATGGAGTTTGAACATCAGTATTAAGTTACAGCATTAATGTTAACTATTAAAAACCCTGTTCATAAAGTCCTAGCACAGAGGAGGGAAAGTTGGCATTAAGTCCCACCCTTAACCAAAAAGCTGTTTGTAACTGATTTTGCCAGAAGAGGAAAAACCGGTTTTCTCCAATTTAGTGTTAATGAGCATATCAGCCACTCCAGGGCAGGGCCCATGTCCAGAAGTAGCTAGCCAATGCAAAGCAGGTTCCATGTTTCTGTGTGTGCTTTTTTTTCCCCCAGATTTTTTCTTACTGGCTTTTTCACATATTTGTTTTTCTGTTTTCTGTTTTTTTTTTTTTTTTTTTTTTTTTNTTTTTTTTTTTTTTTTTTTTTTTTTTTGAGAGAGAGAGAGAGAGAGAGAGAGAGAGAGAGAGAGAGAGAGAGAGAGAGAAACAACATGGAGTTTGTGGGTAGGGATGTGGGGAGGATCTGGGGGGAAGGAAAATATGATAAAAAATATTATATGTAGAAAAACCTAATTAAGAAAGAAAACTCTGTCCAGAACTTAGAAGTTTAGAAGGGGGTGCAGAACGGAGGAGAGGTGGGCTCAATGCGAGCATCTTATTGGCAAGATCCCTCCATCTGGGAATGCAGGTTTTTCTCCTTGGATGGTGAGCTACTGCACACTACACCCCTCCCAATTGCTAACTCCTTGGGGGCACATTGGCCTTCTCAACACAGACAACGCTCTTTTCACCTCAGTGGGCATAGGCACCACCGAGAGCCAATACTTCCAACCTTACACACCATCTAAATGGAAGACACTCAAACCTTTTGCTCATTCACACATGCAAACCCATTGCTTTCCTTCCTCCACGGTATCATTCACTAATCTGGGTGCCTTGCTCTTTGTTCCTCATCTTCTCGTGCTCAGAGACACACCCAACCTATACACTGCCTCTTAGAGACTCCTCGGGGGGATCTCTTCAAACAGCAGGGACAGTGGCATCATTTGTTGATCATGTGTGTCACTTATGTGGCCAAGACCCGAGATAGCAGACGGAACATATAAGCTTGCATCAGGTACAGAAGCATAAAAGTTGGGAATGGCAAACTAACATTTGAGAGGACTCCGGCTCCTCATCCGAACACAGGCCTTCCCTCTGGAACAGAACTGGCCAGCTGTTCACTCACCAGCCTCCCTCCATATGCTTTGCCAGATCAAATATTCTTGTCAGGATTCGACTCTTCTCATATTTTTTAAAATGCAATTTTTTTATTGATTCTTTGGAAATTTCACATCATGCACCCCAATCCCACTCATTTCCCAGTCCCTCTGTGTCTGCCCTTTACCCTTGTAGCACCCCCAAAGAAAACTTAAAAAGAAAGAATAAAAATTTAAAAATAAAAATAAGAATATTAAACAAACAAAAACAAACAAACCAACAACAAAATAAAAAGAGAGAAACAACAACAACAAAACTCTGTCATTCCCTCCTCTTCATTCACTTCCTGGTTTTTAAAAACTTATTCTGTTTGTTAGCTAATACTTTCTTCTTTCTAGGGAGCAAATTTCTTTTTGCTCAAAGACAGTTCTTTTATGTGCACCATTTATATAATTTCCCTATAAAACTGTAGCCAAGAAATATCTTCTGTCATTCTTGCTTTCCTTTACCTTCTTCTTTGACTGCTACATTTCAATAATAAAGTGAAAACTGATATATCTATAATGAGGAATCATTTGATTAATATTTTTGCTTTACCCTAGGAGATTTTTTACTCTCAAACACAATACTTGACTTTGAAAACAATTTGGTCATAGTAACTCAAAATGTCAATGCACAAATTTGTGTGTGGGTGTGTGGATTTGAATGTGTTCTATCCAGAATCCCAGTTTTACAGGGTCTGGCCACCACTGAGATATCCAACCAGCTTGCTGGATCCTGGAGGGCAAAGAGACGTTTCAGAGGCTTCTGCCTAGAAAACTGAGAAATATGTATTAGTCTATGTCTCCTGAGAAACAGAGGCTAAGGCCTTACCAAGGGCGCAAATGTTTCTTCCGAAGAAACACCCACAAGGAGTGGAGCCATAAGCAGGGAAGGCCAGCTCTGCAGCAAAGGAGAGTGGGGAGCAGTGCGTATATTCTGGGCTGCAGCTTGGTCTGAAGAGACTCGGGCAATGCCATCTAGGTGGAGTCCACCTGAGGAGTCCTGTGTCCCAGGGAACGTGGCCTAGGGTAGTATTCCTGCCTTCACATTCTCAGGCTGGAAGAAGCTATAGGGAGTGTGAGGGATGAGGAAAAATGGGGAGAACAGATACCACAAGACCCTCAAGAAGCTGAGCTGCCTCTTTCCAAGAGATGCCATCTGTGTCTGCCCCTGAGGTCACTGAAGTAAAATTTCAAAGCAGCTTATTTTTCCGTGTTAGTTTTCCATTACTGTGGGAAAGTACCTGAGGAAAACTGATTTAAGGTATAGATTAGAGGGCTGGAGAGACAGCTCCGTGGTTAAGAGCACTGGTTGCTCTTCTGATACAGTGATTCACAACCGTCTGTAACTCCAGCTCCAGAGAATCCAGTTGCCCTCTCTGATCTTCGTGGGCTCTACGCATATGCAGTGCATATAAAGGCAAATATTCACATAGGAAAAATAAACCTTTCTTCTAGAAAAAGTTCTCTATTCCCTCCCCCAAATAAAGAGCCACCAGCTGGGCAGTGGTGGCGCATACTTTAATTACAGCACTTGGGAGGCAGAAACAGGTGGATCTCTGTGTTCAAGGACAGCCAGGGCTACTCAGAGAAACTGTCTTAAAAAAAATCCATTAAATGTGTGGTTCAGTTGTTGTATATTCATTCATTCATTCATTCATTCAACAACAAATATACTGGGGCCTGTGTGTTCTCCTCACATACATAACATCCATCACACAGATATGTGTGTTTATATTTAAATGCTTTATATATTTATATATAATGTATATTTATGTATTCAATATATCTTTGAATATATGTACTTGGGGGAATAGAGAAGTTTTTTAAAAGATATACAAATATCTGGTATACCATATACATATCTTTTTCATTCCCTAAACTATTGACGCTTTACAAGTTTGTATTCTAGAGATTGCAAAACACATTATTTTAAATTTGAACCAGTAGTCTAAGATTGGAATGTTTTCTTATACAAAGAGTTCAAATTGGCAGCAAAATTTGATTGTATATATATGATATATGATTGTACGTGTTTTCAATAAGTCCCTAGGATACTGCAGAAATAGTTGTCATAAATAGATTATTCCAACATGGAGGGGATACACAACGAAGGAAGGTTTTCTGTGTAAGCTGTTACCCAGTCCAGGTTAGGATTCAGTCAGGCTTTGTGAATTTCAAATTTAAATATAAAGCAAGACAAGGACAACCAACCCAGAGCAGGGAGCTCAAGTCCAGATACAGCATAAGCTAAGGTAAGTAGCACATGACCTTTGGTGCTTCAGCACTGCAGGGGAAAAAAGGGTACAGCAGGGCATGATGGGACAGGGGACAGATGGAGAAACTTTGTGTGCTGGATCAGCGTTGCCTCATTGCCCAGCTTCATGTGTATTGTCTATAAAGTGGTAATGACAGCATGCAGTCTGCAGCCCTATGGAAACAGACAACACAATACAAACCACAGCATCGTCTCTACTCCTGACAGGACCGCTCTTGCTCAGCTCCCCTGAATCAGCATTGATTGTGTTCTGCCTCTAATCTACTCCCTTTGTCCTCCCTCCTACCCCAATCCCCAACACCTGCCCCTATCTCTGGCTGCACTTCCTTCATGATCTAAATCAGTGTCTAGGACAAATAGTCTAACATCTTAGGAGGGTTTTTAAAGTTGGTGGCGCAATTGTGTGGGTGTCAAGATCCTTAAAGCTACGCGGGTGGGTTGGAGGAGGGTCACAAACCTGACTAACCTGTCTGGGAAGTAGCTATTTCCTGCTCCCTGGGGAGGAAGGCCTCTCTACTTGCGCAGAAGACACAGGAAAGATGTCAGCAATTGTCGTCAGCGCTCCACAGTCTCGGCAGGAGTGAGCAGCAGGTTTGGCAGTTGTGCCAAATGCTTCTGTGCTGAGGAATTTGCTCAAGGTCCAGGAGGAGGACTTTAATGGAAAGGAAGCCCTGAGCATCTCTCCTGCCCCTCAAGTCTGTGTTACGCAGGGTCCTGCCCACGCCCAAACGCCATCAGTCCCAGACAGGAAGGAATCTGCTCTCCATGGAAACCACTCATCCAGCCTAGAAGACAGATGCTCTGCTGGTGCCTATAGCTCCCAGACACGCACATGTGCAGTCCACTCACAGCCCCATCAGCAGGTGTCATCAAAGGAACAGGCAGAAACTTGAGGTCAATGACCTCTGATCTGGAAAAGTCCTTGGAAATTCTCTAGCTCCCGTTCTGTCCTTAAAGGGGAAAAATAGGCAGGCTAGGGAGGGTAAAATGTGTCTAAAGACACAGGACCGCTGACTCAGAACAATCACCAGTCACCCTCTCAGCCAGGCTTTTAAGACTCTAAATTAGAAGACAATCAGCAGCCCTCAAATCTTGGTCAAGGGTTATCAGGAGAAGAGGGCCAGTTGGGCATGGTGGTTCCCCCCTATACAAAAGGAATGCTGAAAGAGAGGCATTGTGGGCGCAATTTAGGCAATCTTGAAAGAAAAGGGGTGGAAAGGGGCAGGACTGGGGATGCAGCTTAGTGGTGTAGTAGCTTTTCAGAGGTGTGAGGGTTTGATCTGCAGCACTGCCAGAGAAGAGAGAGAGAGAGTCTTGCTCTTTTGTTGGTAATACGTTTACACACACACACACACACACACACACACACACACACACAGTACTACTAGCTGGGTACAGCTGTCATTCAATGGGATACTGCTTAAACATCTTATGTGCTCAAGATAATCCCCTCTATGCACCTAACACATCCCAAATCCCAGCGCCAATCATGTACGGTTGGGAAATCTAGGAAGCCTTTTCTGGTTTATGCAGGGATCCAAACAAGAATCAAGCAAAGGGTCAGCCAGGGTATCCCCTGAACAGACTGAATCTCCCATGCTTCTCTGAGGGTTGAGTCTTACAGCTTTCAGACGAATGGGGTTTCCAAACAGTGACAAACTGGCAGGCCTCACTGCATCACTGTCAACTTGAAGAAAGACAAAGATGTGACAGAGACTAAAGAGATGGCTCGGCAGTTAAAAGTATGAAATACTTAAAGATTAAGAAATATTGAAATATGGAGAAAGAGAATATAGTGCTCGTGCAGAGGACCTGAATTCTGCTCTCTGTTCTCAATACCTATATCTGCTGCTTCACAATTATCTGTAACTCCAACTCCAGGGCATCCGATGCCTCCTGGTTCTGTGGGCACCTGTATTCGCTTGCACATAGCCCCACACAGGTACCACACATGCACACATGTTTTTAATCTCATGCTAGCTAGCATCAGGTAGCTCATATGCTTTATATCTCTGAGGTAAAATTGGAACAGGAACTTTCAGAAGATGGGTTTCTGGCCAATCATACTCCAGCTTTCTAATCTAGGTTCTTCACGTTTCTTCCATGTTGGGATGCATAAGATGGTGCCCACTTCATACTGTTATACCTCTAGGTAGCATGGTTCAAGGTAAGGCTATGATATGATGTTTTCAAAATCAGCTGAAAACTGGGCCAGTCTTAAATCAGCTCGGTTTGATCAAAATGTTTGCTGTCTCTGTACCAAAGAAATTTGGATACTAATAGTCAGGGGATAGCTTGGTCTTAATTATGAGATCCTCATGAGCTGATGTCTCTTCCATGCCTCCACGTCTTTCTGCTGGTACTTTATCTCAAAAATTCTCCAAACAACTATCAGTCTAAATAACACTGTAGCCTATCATGTAAGGACAATTAACCAATGACCAGGTCTCTTCCTTCCTTATCAGAATGCCACTGCTAAGGGAAATCGCTAGGAAATACCAGGGGTAGCCATGACACTTCTTTATTTCCTGAGATCCACCTAGGTTGAGTGCAGCCCCTGTATTATAAAAACCTGTGTGGGATTGAATTTGGGGGTATCCTCATTGTCTTCCTAATTGATAATCTCCTCAGCCTTAGCCCAGGGAGAAGCAGTAGATGCTTGTGCTAACTTTGTTCTCTTTATCTCTGACTTACTTGCAGGGGGCCATGCTCTGGACACCCCAAATCCCCAGGAATTTCCTCCAGGACTGTCGAAAAATATCAGTAAGAATCCTTTGACCTTTGCCCAGAATCTAAGAAAAAAAAAAGGTTGTTTAGGATATTGGCAGAGAAAACCCTTCTGAACATAGAACATACCCTAGCATCCTAACTGATTTAGCATCTGCAGGGAGTCACACAGGTGGTACCCCAAAGCATCTCTCCAGCCTCTCTCCTGATGTCTCTTGCTCTAGAAATCTCTCACTTGAGCCAGGTTTCAGTGGTAACAGGGAACCAGGAAAGAAAGTAAATGTGCTAACGCTGAGGGTTAATGTGGGGGCTAAATCTTAGTGTTATGACACAGTGCTTGTGTGTGTCAACTAATGAAAAAAAGTTGCCTTGGATTTGAAAGAGAACAAGGAAGGAGGAGAGGGAAGAGAGCAATTATGTAATTATAATCTCAAAAAAGAAAACTAGCTTAAAAATGCTCGCTAGGCTTGATGGTAAGAAAGAGACGGAAGACACATCGCAGAGTTCTGGTCCAATGATTGTTCTGTGGGGAAGAGGACACTGGGTCCCTGTTACTGAGATAACTCTCAGTACATTTCCCTACTGGAGACCCTAAATAGTATGTCCACAGGCACAGTGACTTGGTGCCATACATTTCTCCTCCATAGCGCCTCTCAGTTTAAACATGCTGTACCACCCAGAAGTTGTTGCTCTTTGTTTTTAATAACTGAACAATGTTGCCTAGGAATATTGCTCAGCTTTCTTCTGTATTGGTTTCCATGGTAACCGCTGTTGCCAGACAGTTAGCTTAAGGTCAAATTTGTTCTTAGAAGAAGATAAAAGGTTTGCCGTCTCTGGATAGGAAGAGAAACAGAGGCCAAACCAGGACTCCTTAATTCATGTTTGTCTTCCCTCCATTTAGATATCACGTTTTTCAATGGCGTGTTTAAAAATGTGGAAAGTGTGGCTGAAATTTTTGGTAAGTGAATTTGGGTCACCAACCAACTCTCAAATAAAGACATGGAGACTTATTATTAATTATGACTGTTCGGCCTTAGCTTAGGCATGTCCCACTAGCCCCTTTAACTTAATTAATTTATTTATTTATCTACATTTTGTTTGCCTTGGGGCTTTTTAATCTTTCTTTCATTCTATATTTACTACTTCCCTACTTCCTCTGTGTCTGGTTGGCTGGCCCCTGGCATCTCCCTGGTGTTTCTTTTTCTTTCTTCTCTGAGGCCGAGTTCCTCCTCTTACTTACTCTTCCTGCCCAGAAGTCCTGTCTATTCTCCCTCATTATTGACCATTCAGCTTTTTATTAGACCAATCAGGTACTTTAGGCAGGTAGCACATCTTTACATAATTAAACAGATATTCTGCAACATAAACAAATGCAACACATCTTTGCATCATTCAACAAATATTCCACAACATGAAATTCCTTTCATCCATTGAGTGTCAGGATGGAGTGGGTGTAGGAAGGTAGAAGAAACCACGAGGGTCTTGTTCTCTGCCTCTGATCTCCCTGCCCTCCTCGGCCAACTGCCAGCATGTATTTGGACTACTAAGAAGGTAGTGCTGTTGTCACTATATGCCTTCATTTTCTTTACTTCCATGTCCTAACTACAGAACTTCTGAGAAGAGCATGGTATCGCTGTTACATAAGCGAGGATGCTGAGCCCATGGGAGTTAAGTGGGTTGCTCAAGACTTCAAAGCTAAAAGGGAGACGTTCTTCATGCCTAGACCTTAATCCCTTATACCATTATGGTTTAGTTTTGTCTCCCCCAACAAACAAGTACATGGGAACCTTCAATATTTGAAAGATTGTCAAGCAATCCATGTGTGTTTCACATCAAGTATACAACTATTGGGATACTATGAGGGTTGCTACTATCAAATATGGACACTGCCAATCAAATAGTGTTATATATACTGATATTGGCAAAGTCGCTGGAACCTGCTGTTTGATTAGAAGAGGCTGAGCATGGTGCCTATGACTCAGAGTAGCTACCCTAGAGGTCTTTGAACGAGAATGCACATCTATATAAGCATTCCTGTACATATCAATTTAAGAAAGCTTTTTCAACGACATTGAATCATTCTTCACTTACGGGTGCGACCTCGTGGGAACAAAACGTGAGAAAAGAAGGGAAGTTTGAATGAGGTAAGAGGAAACCAGGACAGGAAAGTGAGCCTGGTGCTTACAGACCACGTCTCTATCCCATCAGTTCCTCCTGTAGTCCTGTGCACTCTGAGTGACAGTCACCTCCTTCAGCGAGGAACAGACCTCTCACCAGAAAAGCAGAGGCTGGCGAAGCAAAACCTGAAGTTAAGAGTAGAAGCAAGTAGTGTTTTTCTTAACAGTTCTTGTGCCGTATGCTCGAGAGTAGACCATCAGATGCTGCCTTGGACACGTCTCTGACATTTGAGGGCAACAGAACAATGCCTACCTGGCAGGATTTCTGTGACATTTAGCATTAAAAACAAAAGCTCTGCAATGTATCACGCACATGACCAATCTGAACCATTGTGGTACTGGGAATATCTAGTGCAGTTTCTGGTGCAGAGTGGATGCCCAATGGCTGTGGGTCTACACGCCTTTCTTTTCTACACTGGCTTGTCATTTATTTGTCATTTATGGTCTCATTACCATGCCACTGGAGATGCAGTCTGCAAACTAATAATTTCACAGATCATAAAGGCGTGTCTTAAATATATCTATCTCACACAGCAGATAGTCTGAAGGTACCAGGATGGGTGCAGTAGCCGTGTACAGCAGCAGAGTCCTGCAGGTTTGTTCTATCTTGTTCCATCGCTGGCCTCCCAGGACATACTGGCTTTTCCCAACTTTAGGCTTGGGGCCTCGTGGTTGCAATGTAGCTGCTGTAGTTCTAGCCAGCATACCCACATTCAAGGAAGGAGAAAAAGTATAGCTCAAAAAGATGGTCTTTTCTTTTTTTTTTATGTGTGCTTGCGGTGTTCACATGTGTATACATTGGCAAGCCTTGGGTTGTATCTGTGTTTAAATCACGTGTATGCATATGCCTGTGGAGGCCCAACGTCAGTGTCTGAGTTCTTCCTCAATTGCTCCCTATCTTGTTCTTTGACTCAGGGAAATGTGCTTAGATTTAAGTCCAGAGCTCACCAATAAGGCCAGTCTTACGAGGCAGCTTGCTCTAGGGACCTACTGGCTCTGCCTTCTGCGGCTGGAATTACTGGGAGTTGCCACACCCACCTGACATTTATGTGGATTCTGAGGGTGCAAACACTTTAAAAGCTGGGCCATCACCCCAGCCCCAAATGGATCTTCTTGAGTGTTCATTTCTGCATTAGGAAGCAAATATTTTCTGAAGTCTTTGACAGACTCCCTCTTAAGTCTTTTTCCACCAAATCTGGGGGATGGCCTGAGGATCCAGACATGGGCATGAAGACACAGAGTTATAGTGACCAGCTGAGAATAATAGTGAAATTCATTCAGAAACTTACAGAACAGGCTTATCTTTTTGAGAACTTTCCAGTTTTCTTAATGAGGAAGAGGCCAGCATCTCTCAGGTGGGTGTGTCCAATGTGACTGGGGCTTCTACCTGCTTTGAACCCACTGCACAGCAGGCAGTGGCTACGCTCATGACATCCTGTCAGCCAGGGGACAGAGCTCCTCCTCTACTCGAGTTCCCAGCATCCACCAGGACCTGCTTTCCCCACCCACAGACTGCCTAGGCTCACACTTCACCTGGCTGCAGGCTGTCTTCACCAACTTTCCTCTGCTGCTCCAGTTTGTGAACAGTATGAGGTGTGTGACTGGCCTCTGCCCCCGCGACTTCGAAGACTATGGCTGTGCCTGCAGGTTTGAGATGGAAGGGCTGCCTGTGGATGAGTCTGATAGGTGAGTAGGAACCACGGGTGAGCTCGTTGCAGCCTAGTGACACCTTGGCTGGAACAAATAAAGACCTGGAAGAAGAGACTCGGGGGGGGGGGATATAATTCTGTTACCTACTGGAAGGTAACTGGCACCCACGTCTTCACAGTGTGATGTAACTAGTGTTGTGGTTTTAGGTAGTTACCATGAGGCTCTGTCATGGTAAAACTAAAGTGTGGGCAAGATGGGGCTCCCTGCATTAAAACCACTAAGGTCCTTGCTATAATGCAGATTCTTGAAGTCCAACCTAGCCCTATCAACTCAGGATACATGTAGGTGGAGACCAGCTTTATCCAGTGCAATTCTGCCTATGAGAGGAAAAGCAATTACAGAGGTTGCCATTCAACCAGCAGTAAAAAGAACAATAACAACCCATGATGTTAAACTTAAGATAACCACAACACTACTCATGCCTACGTGTGGAAAACAAGAAAATGTGCATGGCAACTGAAGATATGCTTCATTCCTATGGGCAAGGAGAGTGCACACTGAAACAAAGTAGCAAGACTGGTAATGACATTGTAAACCTAAAACATTAAACAAGCTTAATCCAGGGTGTGGTCAAGAGGTATAGGGATAGGAGGGCCAACTAAGTTATTGATTGACTTGGGAAAGCTGTTGCTGTGTGTTCAAATTCAAGGACTTTTACCTTAACTCATAACTTAGCAATTTTTGTTCTCTGCTTCTTACTGACGTAGAAGTTGAAGGCATTGTGAGTGTACCTTGTTATGAAGTTCAAGAGTATCAGTAACTGCGGAACAAAGACTGGGCTCATAGGAATAGTTATAGTAGAAATGGGAGTAGCAATGGCTGTAGAAAGGTAGATGCAATAGGATCCATATTGACAGTAATAATACCAGAGTAATAGTAGCAATAGCCACAACACAGAAAGAACTAGGCTAATGCAGCAGTAACAGTGGCTGTAACCATAGCAACAGCATCAGCAACAGAAAACGTTCAAACCTAGAATATTGAATCTGAATCTCAACTCTAAGATTAATACCCTATGCCATTGGCGTCATCCTGTGCCCCAAACCCAGTGCCATGAGACATGTGCATTCTCTCATCTGTGTAGGTTCAGGGGAGGTAGGAAAGAATCTCTATGGAATCTCCATATTAGGCAGTTCACACTGTCCCTGGCATTTCTCCGTAAAGGATGTCCTCTTCATCTGTCCTCGGGTTCACTTTTCAAACCTCTGATATTCTCTTTCTTACTTCTGCTACACAGGCAAGTGTGCACACAGTGTCTGTCTCTAGATTCCACTCATTGTCCTCTGAGCAGAGAGGGAACCATGCCCTTTCTTTGTGCTCTCAGTACTAGTGACTGACTGAGGAGGTGATCAGCCCCCAACTCCTTTTCAGAGCTTGAAAACAGATGAGTTGAAAAGGATATATTCTAGGCTGACAAAGAATAATAGCTTTGCAATTAAACAGACAATTATCCCCACTTTCAAACCTACAGGAGAGGATATAAGTTGCCTTTGGACATCAGGGCTAGTTTTCCATTTTTAGGGACCAGGGTCAGATAATCGGTGCAGAGTCTGAAAAGGGCTGATTACTCAGGGTCTGTGAGGCCAGGGCTGTTTCTGAGGACAAATTTTCACGGCAAGTCCCCTATGCCTTTTTCTCTTAATTCTTAGAACACCCGAGAAACCTAGAAAGCAAATAAATGAAGGAGTCATTCATCACTGTCTCCCACCCAGAAAGAATTCTCAAAGGACCTGTGTCTCCACACTGGTGCAATGGTGGGCTCAATCTAATTTCAGTTTATACATTTTGGTCAACGGGGTTTCCAAACCCTCTGGAAGACAGATAGATAGATAGATTATTTCCTCCTTGAACTTGCACACTAGCTTTGCAACAATGTCTGCTACTGTTTATTGAAATAGATGTTTTCTTAAATCCGGGGAATCTTCCTTAGGTGGGACGGAAAAAAAAATGTATCCAAGGTCATCTAACTTTTATATGTTTTGTTTGTTGCAATGTTCTCAGCTGACCCCGTCCTCATTGTGAGAGCCCACTAACCTGCTAGTGACAGTCTCACCCTGAAATTAAAAACCACCTGGACGAGACCAAGTGCATCTCACACAGAGATCCACATACAAAAAGTGAAGGGCCCTCTGGCTCACTGTGTGATGACCTACTTCTTTCTGCTTTCTGGATAGCTGCTGGAGTCTCTCTCACCTTAACCCCAATCATTTGAAGGTTAATCTACCACGTCTCCTCCTCCTCATTATCATATCCCTCTTTTCTTCTTCTCTCCCCCCCCTATTCCTCTCTTCCCTCTCACCCTCTTCCTCTTTCTTGCAGCACAGTTTCTTATACAACCGAGCGTGGCCTTAAACGTGTGATCTTCCTGCCTCTCCAGTGCAGGAATTAGAGATAAGCAGTTGCATACCTGACTTCCAGTGTTGGTGTCTTTTCTTTGGGATGTGGGCGCTACAAAATCGTCTTGACTTTGTCATCACTGGCTATCCTAAGTGAGTAATAGAGTCAGGATTCCCTCAGAGAAGCCAGCTCCTATGTGAGGCCAAGTAGAACGATCCAGGCAGAAGGAGAGAGACTGCTGCTGCTATTAACGTTGACTCAGATAGGTGTAGAATGTGCTGACAACAACAAAGGTAGCATCCAAAGACAGTGCCCAGACAAGGACCACCTTTACTGTTTCTTTTCACACCATGTCCTCCATCTGAAATTAGGCTGTGTGGCTGGCCACAGAAGCTGCATGTCGGGCAGGGGTGATGTTCGCTTCCATCCAAAACATGTAAGATAGATCAGGTGGCATGGTGTGTGTGTGTGTGTGTGTGTGTGTGTGTGTGTGTGTGTGTTGCAATAGATCACTACTGGGTACCTCCAGGCATCAGGATGATCCTGGACTGCTTGCCTGCCTCTGCCCTAACCATGGTCTATCTTGATCCTGCCTGGCCTGCCGCAGCTGCTGCTTCCAGCATCGTAGGTGCTATGAGGAGGCCATTGAGATGGACTGTGTCCAGGACCCTGCCAAGCTCAGTGCAGATGTGGACTGCATCAACAAACAGATCACATGTGGTGAGCATTTTCGGCCCTCCTTGAGCAGAGGCATGAAAGGACCCTTGTGGTCCATGTAGGACCCACTAACACTGCCAAGGCCATTAGCAGTGTCATTGTTTGTACTTAGACGATTGATGAGTTTGTGATTCACACATAGTTAATGTGCAATGAATGTTTTTTATTACTGAAGCAATGTTTTATTGGAATATCATCTGATTTATAATTTATTTATACTTCTGATTTATAATTTATTTATACTTGTGGTGACTGTAGAAGCTTGCACTTGGCAAATAGTTTGCTATTTATGTGCCTTGTAACAATGGAATGATTCCTTAGCTTCTTAACCACACAATGGGGAGGAGGAAGACCTCCTTCAAAGAGATGTTATGGGAATTAAATTAAGCCTGCTTGAGAAATGGTTACCACAGTAACTGGTGTAGTAAGAACTCTTTGTCATGTGTGGAAATAGACGTAGAGGTGAGTAGTCAAGGTCAGGGAGGCTGCTCTTTCTAACAGTCAAGTAGGTAAGCTCACCTTTCTGCCTAAGCACCTTGTCTACCCTGTGACTCTAGGAATATCATTTGACATGTCTGGGTAGTCCTGGAAGAAGATGACTAGGCAAAAGCATAGAAGGATGAAAGAGTATAGCTTGATGAGGTGCTAGATTGTGACCGTCTCCTGCATGACTGCTGCCGACTTTGGTCTCCATGCTCAGCAAATCGGACCTTCTGTCCCAACAACCTGTTAGCTGGACTCCAGTGTTCTCAGTTTTCAAACAAGAGAAGGAAAGTTCTGAGAGATGAAACAACCCAGCTAAAGTCACGGAGGTGCTCAGCTGCACAGCCAGGCTTTGAACTAATGCTCCAGTAACTTCCAAGTCCAGGTACTAAGTCTGATAAAGCCTGGAACTTTAACAGAAAATAGAGGGAGACACTGAGGAAGCAGTGGGGGAGAAGCCAGTGGACATGGAAAAGGGTATTCATCTGTGCACTCAGCAAACAGATGCTGAGTATCTCCCCGTGTGAGACCACTGCATCCACGTATGTGTGTGTGTATGGGGGGGTGGTGGTTATTGTGACCTTTGGGACTGTTCTCTGTATGGTCAGTGCGTTAGTTACTGGTTAATAGTTATTACAAGTGCATCATGCTCTTGATAGAGTATCTGATAGGAGCAACTTAGAAAGGTTTAAGTTGGCTCCTGGCCAGGGCGTCAGGGGAACAGAGCAGCTGGTTGGTATGGCCTCAGTCTGAAAGCAAGGCACTCAGGCTAGAGGCAGGGTCAGGCTATTATCTTATTGCATTAATTGGGGCTGGAACGTGTGTGGATAAAGATCTGTTCACCCCTGAAGGGCAGCAACAACAGACCCAAGAATAAATCCATTTAAGTCTAATTGGTGAACCGGTGGGTTTAATTGGGGTTTACAGGTTCAACTCTTAATGGCTTCTGTATTGTAACTGCTTCTGTGCATAGAGACAGGGTCTCTTATAACATCCTTATTCGCTGCTTCAAGAACCCTTCCTTCTCTTTCTGGGACAATGTGATGAGTCTAATCTTGAGAGGATCTTGTGTGGATTAGCACAGTTGCTCTCATTTCAAGATGGACACCTCCATGCCATTCCTGGAGGATGGTGGTCCCCAACAGACCCTCGATGACCTTCTAACTAGCGATCCACGTCCTCTAGCAAGGCTCTCCCTTCTAAATGTTCCACAGTCTCCTCAAACAATGCCATCACCTGGGGACCAAGTGATTAAACACACAAACGAGCTCGTGGGAGTCACTTCACATTCAAACCGTGGTAGCTGAACACTGCAGCTATTTTTGGTGGTGACAGGAATCGTGGCAGAAACAAGATCAGGGCGATGGTACAGAGTGGGCTGGTGGTACTCTATTAACAGGAAGGGCTTTTAAAGCTTCTCTGAGTAAAGATAGAAGTGGTAAACAGTCCTAATGGCTGTGCAGAGAAGAGTGATCAAGCAGAACATGGACAGACTTGAGGTGTCCTGTGTGGAATGGGGAACATAAACGAGTTTTAAGATGTGTGGAAAAAGATGACGTCCAAGGAGAACTGGGGGTAGTAGGCAAGGATAGTCATGTAATACTTTCTAAGTGACCCTGAGAAGTCAGTGAGGGGTTCTGAACCAACAGTCGTGCTTCGATTAAAGTGTTTTATTTTTATATCTTGTAGCCCTAAGGATGGAACCCAGGGCCTCTCATGTGCTAGATATGTGCTCTCTACCACTGAGATACCCTCCTCATCCCACCCTAGCCCTTTAACTATTCTGGATCTTTCATGACAGAAATGGGAAGAGTCACGGGGGGAGGGTGCACTGGCAAGAGTGGGCAGGAAATGGTGACAGCGAGTATGTAGGGATGTGGGCAGCTCCCAAAGTGGATACAGGTGGAGCTGGTACAACAGCCTAGTGTGGTAGGCACGTGAGATGCATAGTGTGTGGAGGACTCCCAGGTGGCTTCCACTAAACCAAAGAGGTGACATCATCGTTAGAAAATTGCCGGGGGAGCAAGTTTTGACAGGGTAGATCAGGAGCCCTGTGGGACCACCATTGCCCCCTGGGATTCCAAGTTTGATCTTTCTACCTTGTTCTGTCCTTGCTGTATGCACAGAGTCTGAGGATCCATGCGAGCGCCTACTGTGTACCTGTGACAAGGTTGCTGTGGAGTGCTTGGCTCGGTCTGGTATCAACTCTTCCCTGAATCTTCTGGATGCTTCCTTCTGCCTGGCTCAAACTCCAGGTGGGCCAACGGGGACTGAGTCCTACAGTGGGTGGGGCTGAGCTGGGGGCAGGAGCTGCAATGGGACCACGTATCGCTGGGTGTCTTCAAATGTTAAGTACAGCCCTGCCACCCTCTCTATATGCCTCCCTGTGTGTTTCCTTGCAGAGACAACTAATACGAAAACCCCAGTGACACTGCCATCTAGAGGTAAAGTTCCCGACATAGCTGGTTCTTCCTGAACTATAGAAGACCTACGATGGTAGCGGCGGGCACAGGCACCTCCACCAATGGCCTGACTCCCAGAGACTGAAGCCATTGTTGACACTGACTCTGCCTCCCTTTGCTAGGAGACCAGTACAAATATCCAGTATGGAAAGGTCCTAGTGCCAACCCTACCCCTGCTAGTGGATGGATGCGAATTTAATACAACAAGAGTGTAGATCCCAAGTTCTTTCTCTCTGTGTAGTCAGAGGTCTGGTAGCCTCTAAGCTCTAAGGACTGGGGTAGCCTTTTAAGCTCAGATAAATTAGGTTCCCACTCTTAAGTGTTCTTGGCTACCGGAGCCTCCCTGGGATGGACCAGGCTCCTTCTTCCTTCCATGTCCTCCTTACCTTCCCAGAGCTTAAGAAGGCACAGTACCCTGCCTGCTCATCTTAGAGCTCCCGAGGTTTTATTTGGAGAGGCATATTGAGGTGCCAGTGCTGTTGGAGGCTCTCTTTTCCCAGGGGTTCCAGAGAAGCCCACAGACACCAGTCAGATAGCCCTCTCAGGAGAAGGTAAGTGTAATGTGACCCAAGCACCCTTGTCTCATCTGCACTGCTCCATACTGGTTCGATGACATCCTGTCTGCTTTATTATGGAACTGAGTAACTCCAGAGGCCCCCATCCTTCCTGAGCGAGGGACCTTTTACTCCTTCAGCTTTCTTTTGCCTCTCTGTCTTCATCTCTGGAGGATCAGAAGCACAATGCTGAAACTTGTCCAGATGAGCAGCACATATGTTTCAATGAGCCCTCCAAATCTTGCCTGGGATATCCATATGCCAGGATATTATGTATCACTCCTCTAAAATCCATATTTATTGGGCATACTAAATGCGTGCCTGGATCTTGGTGTCTTCGCCTTACAGAGCCCTCCTTCCGAGAACCCGTGATTTCCCCTTCCCTTCACCCTTACTCCCAGTCTGTTTCCCTGATCATGGGATTGGCTCTGGTGCTTAGCCTGGTCCATGATACAGTGTTGTCTTCTTTCTACAGTGGCTGGTGAGATGAGAGCCGACAGACTGACAACACTCTCCAGGACAAGTAAGCAGAAGGAACACCCAAGAGGGCAGTGCTGGGCAGGGTGGAGATGCTACCTAAATACAAGTGCTCTTTTCCAGGGGCTACAACTGAACAGGGCCCCAGGGGAAGTGCAGTGCCCATTTACAGAATATGTAGGACACTGAGGCACAGGAATCTTACATTTTATGACATTCAGGGAGAAAAACATAGTGACCTGGCCTCACCTCTGAATTCAATGCAACCATGACCATCAAACCTAAAACTATCTAGGCCAAATTTCAGTTGGTGAGCCTGACTTAACCGGACATGCTCATGGTAATTAACATGAATTTATTAAGGAGTGTAAGCAACTGACAGTAATTATTTGCTAGTTACCAAGAATGGTTAAGTGCGTAGATCCCAATTGTAGGACCATCACTGAAGGTCTCCAGTGTGCAGGTATTAGACCCATGCTCCAGATTCTCCTTTTTCCTGGGAGTCCTGTTATTATCCCGTGAAAGAGAAGCACTGAGGGTGGGATCACTCACCTGGAATGTATCAGTTCAGAACTCCTTGGGTCTGAGCTGGTAGGCTTTGCTTTGATAAGAGCAGGCAGCCACAGCCGAGGATAGTCCAGACGATCCTTTGATGTGGCAACTGTGTTCACATCAGTCAGCTTCAAAAGCCTGAGTTTTATACAACACTGCCTTGTCTTGACCCATGAATACGTTAAGTTGAAGTCAGTGGTAACCCTTTCCTGAGACTGGTACAGTCACCATCTCTCTTCATTATGGTACAGTGGGAAGTGAAATGTAAGAACTTAGCATAGTGCCCGAGTCTCAACCTGACTTGGCTTTGCATCCTATGTCTACCTAACTTCATAACTTTAGAGAAGTGTCTTAACTCTCCTGGATGCCTGTTTTCTCATCTCTGTGAGAGAGTGAGCAGGACACACTGACTTGTGAGCTGCCATTAAGTATGTCAGGAGAACAAAGCCCTTGTTTTCATATCATCTGGACACAGTAGGAACTTTATAAGAGTTAAGGACTCACTTCGCTAAAAAACCATGGCCAAAGCAACAATTCCACCACTCAGGAATTGCTGCTCTGTTTAAACACATTTCTTCTTCTTCTTCTTCTTCTTCTTCTTCTTCTTCTTCTTCTTCTTCTTCTTCTTCTTCTTCTTCTTCTTCTTCTTCTTCTTCTTCTTCTTCTT